AGGGGCTGGGATCAGCAAGGGGGAGTAACAGTAAGTGGCACAGGGGGTGACGGGCTGAGCAGACGGGAGCCCGGGACGGAAGGGATGCCCCATGCCCACTGCTGGGACATTACCACGGGCTCGGCGTTCTCATCCTCCCGCAGCCGCAGGGGTGGGGCGCCGGCCGGGCCCGTTGCACAGCCGCTGCCCGATGGCCCCCGGGTCGATGTCCTCCACACTGCTGGCATTGACAATGACATCCACGCCCTGGTGGGGAGCGAGCAGCCATCAGGAGCCAGGGCCAGCGCCCCAGCAGCCTCGTCCCCCTCCCCACCGTTACCCACCTGGAAGAACTCGGCGATTTTGGCCACGTGGCTGGCACAGGCACATTTGCGGGCATCCGGCACGTCCTCACCCACCTGTGGCAGCCGTGACCTTCCCCCCACCAGCCATCGCACGCTCCTACTTTACACCCAGCCATGCCCCTGCCAACACTGCAGCCCCAGTGGGCACGGCATGGACCCTTGGTGCAGTTCCCCTCACTCACCCAGTTGACGAGGACATATTTGGGGAGCACGGCCTGGGGGTCCTTGACACTGCAGAAGCCATACATCACCTTCTGGATCTCAAAGTGGCCAGAGAGCTCCAACAAACCTCCACCTGGTGCAGCACTGTCAGCCCATGTCCACCCAGCACCGAGACGGGTGCCGGGGAAAACGCCAGCAGAGCCAAGCCAGCGGCGGGGACAAAGGACCTTACGCTTCAGGTCATCAGAGCCATCCTCGTACGTGTAGAGAGCCCTGGGGAGACAGCATGGGTGAGCGACAGCCAGACAGAGGGTGGGGCAGCCCCCTCCCCATACTGCTAAACCTGAGGTCAGGGTGACAGAGCTGGGTGTTCCTAAGCTGATACACAGCCACCCCAACCCCTTGTCCATCACCACCATGAAGGGCTAGGCTGCCAGGCAGGGTGGGTATTTCGGGCAGAGCCTGCTCCCCACTTTGCTGAGTGGCAGCCATGGAGCAGGATCCCAAGGCAGAGAACAGAAGGGTCACTTGGGCACAGGGACCAGCTGGCTGCTGTGCCATGCCACAGGCCATTGCAGCCTCACGGCAACTCACGTGCCTGTCCCTCTCCCCCACTCCCTGACCCCGCCAGTTACCAAATGGCTTTGGGGACAGCCCCACGCCCCAGCAGGGAACTTGGGGCCTCTCACGTGCCTGGCTGCGTGAGCCGCCGGCCCAGCAGGCACCAGGCCGGGGGAGGACGCCAGAGCACCAGCAGTAGCAAATCAATGTACTGCCGGGGTGTGATGGGGCCGTCATGGAGACTGTTCCTTGGAAACCATTCCCAGCAGACGGGAAACCCCCTCTCGCTCCCACCATGCCCTGGCCAGCGGGCCCCTCCCCAACCCGCAACTCCCCAGAGGCATACAGCCAGCTTTGGCAGGGGGGAAGGCACATAGCAAATTGGTCCAGGGCGGGTGGGCGAGGGGATGGACGTTGCTAGGCAACCAGCATCCTCCATCACCATGGCAACCCCCCCATCCCAGCTGGGATGCAGCTCGCCCCGATGACAAGGTGATTAGGAGGGGAGCGGG